CGCAATGGGGGAAAGGAGGAAGACGACGGGGAAGAGCTAGTTTGGTGATATCAAACAAGTACCAACGACTCAAGGAGTTGGTCGAGGACGAACGATCAGATGGGCGTGGTCATGGACTCGACCACCTCATACCTCAGGGACAGCTCAGCGTTTGCTAGAGATCCGGTCGAATATCGAAATAAGTAAGAGAATCTCCAGCACATGGGAAGAAGACACGCGGCGCTTCATGAGTGGTCCAGGGCGATAACGAACTCTGACATTCTCTGACATACTCGACGCGTTTTCTGACGCCAGAGATAGTAGAGGCGCACGGTTGTACGGACGAGCAGGAGGACTGCCAATCGAACTCGCCCAAGCCGCGCGTGTAGAACAACTAACTCGCCCCTATAAATAAGGGTGAGAATTCTCATTTTACACACAATCTCTCATACTCTTAAGGGGGGTGTATTCAATTTCAATTTTTAGAGACTTTTTAAGACTTTTAGAATTCTGGTGTATTCAATTAGAACTTTTAAAGACTTCTAAAAAGTTACCTGTATTCAATTGAGACTTTTAATGACTTTTAATAAGTCTCTAAAAGTCTCAGGGTATTCAATTAAAACATTTTGAGAGTTTTTATAAGTCACTCGGTATTCAAAACAGAAAGATTTTGTGAGACTTTTTAAATTTTGAGACTTTTGGAGACTTTTGTAACAAAATTAAAAAGAAAAAGTCTCAACAGAAATCTCATCAATATTGGTGAGATTTTGCTGGACTTTTGTGACTCTTTTCACGCTCTCTTTTTTTTTCTTTCTAACACGACTTTGTATCTCATATCATTTTCATGCTCTATTATTTTACTTATTATTTTGATACCTTGTGTAATTTTATTTTCATTACGTATATTAATGTGACCTTTTTATTTTATACATTCTTTATTATGCTTATTTTATGTGTGTATAGTTTTATTCTCTCAGTTTGCTATCTTGTGAATTTGACTTTTCAAAGATTGAAATGTTTTAAATATTATTGATAATTTTATAAGATACAATTATTGTTTTTCGGCAATATTTGTATCTTGTAAAAATATAACCTAATAATAATTTTCTAATATAACAACATTATGCAAAAAAATATATATATAAAAAAATCAATCAATAATTAAATAAATATATCTTAATTTGGATTGATTATAAGTGTCGTTATAGAAGAGATGTCTAACACATATTTGAGCTTGTACTCTTTTAACAAACAAATATAAGGCCCTGCTCGATTCGACTCATTGAAGCTCGGATCGAATTACTCGTTTAATAAATCTAAAATCCTAAACAATTTGTTTGTGAATAATTCATTTCGCATAAAAATGAGTTTATTCATAAATTTTTAGAGGATTAATATATACATCATCTTTTTTTCATTTATTCTTGTTTATATTAGTTATTTTGTTACGTTTATTAATATTTTATTCAAATATAATATTATAACTGCAAGTATATAAAAGTCTCAATAAGTTTTAAAAAATCCATTATGAAAGTCTTAAAAAGTCATGAATGAAAATTCTCTGAAAGTCTCAAAAAGTCCACCAAAGTCATGAAAGTTCTACAAAGTCCACAAAAGTCATCAAATTTAAAAAGTTTTAAGAAGTCCTTAAAAATCTCAACTGAATACACCCTCCTTAGACACTTACACATATATTTTCATCTCTCTCAAGATCTGACTTGAGCGTTGGAGGATCTTCACCGGAAAGCACCTCCGGTGTGAGAGTTGCGTGCAGGTTCGACATTCTATCGGCGAGGAAGGCAAGCTCGAAGCGGTTCTCAACCGGTTGGGCGTTAGACTTGTATTATTGGCACCATCTGTTGGGACTTATGTTCGAAAAGTTGTGTTCTGAACTCAGCCATGGCGGACGGAATTCCTTGAGTGAATTTGCAGTCGTCGTTCGATGTGGCGTGGATGACAACCAGACCGATGGGAATGGGTCCTCTCCCTGGCTTCTCCGCACTACTACAAACACCGGTGACCCCAACACCGATTCCTCAGAGTGCGGCGATTCCAGGTGGAGAAGAGGGCACGAGGAAAGAGCAGGAGGTTCGTGGAGCAGCACCAACGGCGGTTCTCGCGCCGTTGCAGGTAGGCCCAGTTGTGACGTAGCAGGTTGGA